TTGTAGCTCTTAGTAAAATTTGAAGTCAGGGATTGTGATGCCTGCAGAAATTCTTTTGTTATACAGCATTGTTTTTGACTATCCTGGGTTTTTTGCTTTTCCATATGAAGTTGAGAACCATTCTTTCAAGGTTTGCAAAGAATTTTGTTGGGATTTTGATGGGCATTGCATTGAATCTGTAGATTGCTTTTGGTAAGATTTCCATTTTACTATGTTAATTCTACCTACCCAAGAGCATGGGAGATCTTTTTTTTTTTTTTTGGTGTCTTCTTCAATTTCTTTCTTCAAAGATTTAAAGTTTTTGTCATACATGCCTTCCACTTGTTTGGTTAGAGTTACTCCAAGATATTTTATGCTATTTGTGGCTATTGTGAAGGGCAATATTTCTCAGATTTCTTTCTCAGCCCATTTATCATCTGTGTCCAGGAAGGCTACTGATTTTTTAGTTAATCTTGTATCCTGCTATATTACTGAAAGTGTTTATGAGTTGTACATGTTCCTGGGTAGAATTTTTGGGGTCGCTTATGTAAAGTATCAGATTATCACCAAATAGTGAGAGTTTGACTTTTTCTTTTCCAATTTATATGCCTTGATCTCCTTTTGTTGTTGTATTGCTCTAGTTAGGACTGCAGGAACTGTATTGAATAGATATGGAGAGAGTGGACAACCGATCTTGTTCCTGATGTCAGTGTGATTTGATATTGTCTGTTGGCTTGCTGTATATTGCCTTTATTATGTTTAGGTATGTTCCTTGTATTCCTGGTGTCTCCAAGATCTTTATCATCATGAAGGGATGTTGTATTTTGTCTAACGCTTTTGCAACATCTAATGAGATAATCATGTAGTTTTTATTGTTCAATTTGTGTATATGGTGGATTACGTTGACAAATTTTCATACATTGAACCATCCCTGCATCTCTGGAATGAAGCCGACTAGATCATGGTGGATGATGGTTCTGATGTGTTCTTGGATTCAAAATGCCAATATTTTATTTAGCATTTTGCATCAATGTTCATGAGTAAGATTGGTCTGCAATTCTTTCTTAGTAATGTCTTTATGTGGTTTGGGTTTCAGCATAATTGTAGCATTATAAAAATAATTTAACAATGTTCCTTTTGTTTCTATTGTGTGGAACAATTTGAGGAGTAATGGTATTATTTCTTCTTTGAAAATCTTGTAGAATTCTAAACTGAAACCATTTGGTCCTGAGCTTTTTTGGGTTGGGAGACTTTTGATGACTGTTTCCATAGCAGTTCTAGGTCATTTAATTTGCTTATGTGATCTCGATTTAATTTTGGTAAGTGATATTTATCCAGAAAGTTGTCCATTTCCTTTAAGTTTTCCAATTTATTGGAGTACAGCTTTTCGAAATATGACCTGATGATTCTCTGTATTTCCTTCATGTCTGTTGTTATGTCCTCCTTTTCATTTCTGATTTTGTTAATTCAGATATTCTCTCTCTGCCTTTTGGTTAGTTTGGATAAAGGTTTGTCTATTTTGTTGATTTTCTCAAAGAACCAACTCTTTGTCTCATTGATTCTTTGTATTGTTTTCTTTGTTTCCATTTTGTTGATTTTAGCTCTTAATTTGATTATTTCCTGCTGTCTATTTCTCTCAGGTGAGTTTGCTTCTTTTTGTTCTAAAGTTTTCAAATGTTCTGTTAATTCACTAGTGTGGGATTTGTCCAGCTTCATTATGTAGGCATTTAGTGCTATGAACTTTCCTCTTAACACTGCTTTCATTGTGTTCCATACATTTGGGTATGTTGTGTGGTCATTTTCATTGAGATTTAGGATGATTCAGGTAAGCATTGTCTAATTTCCAAATGTTAGTGGGCTTTCTAGAATTAGTATTGCTGTCGATTTCTAGTTTTAAGGCATGGTGATCTGATAAGATACATGGGGTTATTCCAATTTTTTGTATCTGTTGAGGTTTATTTTGTTCTCACCGAGTTTGTGATCAATTTTTGAGAAGGTTCTATGAGGTGCTGAGAAGAAAGTATATTCTTTTATGTTTTAATGGAATAGTCTATAGATGAATGTTAAGTCCGTTTGAGTCATAACGTCTGTTAGTTCCCTTATTTCTCTGTTAATTTTTATGTCTGACTGCCCTGTCCAGTGGTGAGAGTGGAGTGCTGAAGTCTCTCACTATTAGTGTGTGGGGTTTGACATATGATTTAAGCTTTAGAAATGTTTCTTTTACATACAAGAGTGCCCTTGCATTTGGGGTATAGATGTTCAGTATTGAGATTTCTTCTTGATGGAATTTTTCCTGTGACTAATATGAAATGTTCTTCTTTGTCTCTTTTGTTTGATTTTAGTTTGAAGTCTATTTGGTTAGATATTAGGATAGCTACACCAGCTATCTTAGGTCCATTTGATTGGAAATTTTTTTCCCAACCCTTTACTCTGAGGCAATGTCTGTCTTTAAGGTTGAGGTGTGTTTCTTGTATGCAGCAGAAGGATAGATTCTGTGTTTTTAACCAATCTGTTAGCCTGTGTCTTTTTATAGGTCAGTTGAGTCCATTTATTTGAAGGGCTATTAATGACCAGTGATTGCTATCTTCTATTAATATAGTTTTCAATTGTTGGTAATGTTATTGTGTGTGTTTTCCCCTTCTTTGGGATTTGGTGTTGTGAGATCATCAATTGTCTGTGTTTTTGTTGATATAGCCAACATTTGGGGTTGGAATTTTCCTTCTAGTACTTTGTGTAGGGCTGGGTTTGTTGCTAGGTGTTAGTTAAATCTAGTTTTGTCATGGAATATCTTGTTTTATCTTTCAATGGTGATTGAAAGTTTTGCTGGGTATAGTAGTCTGAGCTGGCATCCGTGGTCTCTTAATGTCTGCATAATACTTGACCACGACCTTCTGGCTTTCATTGTCACCAATGAGAAGCCAGGTGTAATTCTGATGGGTCTGCCTTCATATGTTACTTGGCCTTTTTCCTTTGCAGCTCTCAATATTCTTTCTTTTTCTGTGTGTTTAGTATTTTAATTATTATGTGGCAAGGGGACTTTTTTTTTTTATTCAGTCTGTTTGGTGTCTGTAAGCTTCACATATGCATATCTTTCTTTAGGTTGGGAAAGTTTTCTTCTATGATTTTGTTAAGCTTTTGAGTTGAACTTCTCTTTCTTTTACACCTATAATTCTTAGGCTTGTTCTTTCTATGGTGTCTCATATATCCTGGATATTTTGGGTTAAATTTTTGTTAGATTTAATGAGTTTTTTTGACTGATGAATCTATTTCCTCTATTGTTTCTTCAGCACTTGAGATTCTCTCTTCCATTTCCTGTATTCTGTTGTTTATGTTTGTATTTGTGTTTTCTGATCATTTTCTCATGATATTTGTTTCTATAAATTCCTCTGCTTGTGTTTTCTTTATTATCTCTATTTCAGTTTTCAAGTCTTGAATAGTTTCTTTTATATATTTGATTGTTTTTTCCTTTGGTTTTCTTTAAGGGATTTCCTGATATCTTCCAAAGTTTTATTTGTCTTTTTCTCCATTTCTTTGAGGGAATTTCCCATTTTCTCTTTAAGAGTCTTAAACATTCTCCCGAGTTATTTTTTAGGTCATTTTTTTTCTGCTTCAGCTATATTTAGTTGTTGAAGTCTTGCTGTTGTAGGGTCTCTAGATTTTACTGGTGTCTTGTTGCCTTTGTGGTGTTGCATGTGTTCTTATCTTGTCTACTCATCTTTTCCTCTAATTGATATTGTTGGGGCTGTCTGTAACTCTGGTGATTAATCTTCTAGGTGCCAGTGTATCCAAGGCTCAGATAGTTGCTCCTCATAGTACAGTCAATACGATGGTTCTAGTTACCCTGCTTGTCACTCCATGTTTCTGGAGGTCTCTCAGTGCTCTGGGGTGTCTACTCAGCTCCTGTGGAGTTTGCTGTCTCAGGCTTGCTGTGGTTTAGATTGCAGGATCAGACCTGTTTCTATAAATGTCCCTGGTCTGGATCTGCTCCTGCAGAGGTCCCTGGCTCGGGTTTGGTCCTGCAATGGTTTCTGGCTCTGATTTCCCTTGAAGAACCCAGACTCATGTGTGCCAGGACCCGGAGAGGACCTGAGACCCATGCATGGACCCTCAGAGTTTTCTGGTCCCTGCTTAGTCTCTCAGAGGTCCCAGACCAATGCCTGGACCTGGAGCAGTCCTGTCTCAGGCCTGTTTTCTCAGAGGTCCCAGACTCATACACAGACCCTCAGAGGTTTCTGGTTCCTGCTTACTCTCTAGTCACAGACAGATGCCAAGACCCACAGAAGTCCTGGCTCCTGGCTCGGGCCTAATTCTTCAGAGGTCCCAGATTCATACCCAGGCCCTCAGTGGTCTTTGGCTCTGGCCCACTCGCTCAGCGGTTGCTTCCCTATACCTGCTCCTGTGGAATTCACTGTCTCAGGTCTTCTCCGGCCCAGGTTGCTGGTTCAGTCCTGCCTCTGCAAATGTCTGGACCTGCTCCAGCTCCCATAGAGCTCTCCATCTCAGGCCCGCTCTGGCCTAGGTTGCTGGCCTAGTCCTGCTTCAAAACTTAACTTTTAAAGAATCAGAAGAGCCAAAATTTCTACATGATATAATAAAATGGTTCATATTTATATAACATTCTTCTAAGGGAATTCTTAGTCCCATGTAAATTAGTAACTTGTGCAGATTTTATCATCTTCTTAGGCAGTTTTGGAATAAATAACATTAGATATACTTCAGTGTGGGTGGTGTGTGCATGTGTATGTGTGTATATATGTCTATATTGTATGTGTATACATGCAGATGCCAAAGGAAAACACCAAGGGGCCTCTTCTATCTCTGCTTTGTTCTTTTGAGGCAGGGTCTTTGGCTGAACCTAAAGCTACTTTGGGAGGCTAGCTATTTATCAGACCTCAGGATCTATCTCTACCTGCCTCCCAACATGGGCTGCAGGTACCCTTGGCCAATCCTATGAGGGGGGTTGTGAGGGTGGAGCTCTAAACCCAGGCTTCCATGATTGTGCAGCAAGCACTCTTACTCACGGAATCATCTTCCAGGCCAAGGGCACTGCTGCCTTCATTTGATGTTGGATTGGAAGAAGGAAGAACATACGATGCCATTTCAACTTCCTGGGTGAACACTTTTATCTTTCTTCCTTTTCACTTCAGTTCATTGACCTTTAGGCAAGAAGAAAAAAAATAAAGGAAATGTAAGAAAACTGAAAAAAATAAGGAGGAGAAATGGAGGCTCCTGCCATACAAGGGCCAATAAGAGAAAGTAGCAGAGTAAGCAACATTGCACTTTCCTTAGCTGAGGTCTAGGGGAAATTGAGACCTCAAAGATATCATGAAGTTTGTCAGACAGTGAAGTTCATTTAGTTTATATGTACTGCCCTACAGTTTCATATATTGCAGGGTTGGTTCCCATTGTGGGTTTGTGGTTATGACAGAGTCCTCAAAGTGGTAGAACATAGTGAAAGGCTTTTAGGTCATTGGACACATCTCCCAGAAGGGATTGAAGTATTTCTCATGGCAATCAGTTGTTATGAAAGTCCCTAAATAGGAATACCTGGCTCTCTGTCTTCCTATCTGAGATGTGATAGCTATCTTCCTTGCACACATGCTTACTTCTACTACTATGATGTCATTTGCTACCAGGACTTCAGAAAGGACTGGACATTTAGGGTCACCCGATCTGAGATGGTCAGCTTCTATGACTGTGAGTAGAATCAAGTTCTTTAGCTTGTTCCATACGTTTTCTTGTAGGAGTGAGCTGTGGAGATAAAGTTCTCAGAGAGCCAAGTAACTTTACAAAAACATCTTTACTCCAGAGGGTGACTCTCATTCAATTTTTGCCAAATTCTATAAAAATAGAGTCAAGGTGAATGAGTCTACTGCTTCCTGGACCTGTTCTTCTACTTGCCTTCTTCCAGCCATCCTTGTGAAGTCTACTGTCTCTCCCATCCCAAGCCATAGGCCCTCATAAAACTTGGGTAATGTGAAAACCACGTTATAAGCACCTCTCCTAGACTATGTGAATCCCACACAAATCCAAGTCATCCCAGTGCCAAAGACTTAGCATATTTTGTACAGCTGTACTCTACAAAGAGTGAAAATATCACAGGAGAGTTACAGTAGTTGATTTACAAATTATGTAACAAAATACTGAATCTGAAAAAAAAAAAGCCGAAGATATTTTCAGCTTATCCAGTGATCAGTAAACATATGGGATGCTTTATATAAAGTGTCTCATTTGGTTTACATAACCACCCAAGGAGGTATATATAATTATCTTCCCTGTTTTATAGTTGAGGAAAATAAGAATGAGACTTTTCCTTGAGGCGAGGTCAGCCTAGACCTCACTATAGAGAGTTAACTGGCCTCAAACTTGCAAATATCCTCTTGCCTCTATTCCCAAGTGTTGAGATTTCAAGCATGAGAACTTTTTAAAAAATTATTATTATTATTGGTAGGTTAGATAACTTGTTCCCATTGGAAGTAGGCTGAGGTTCTTACTAGACCTGTTTAAATCTAAAACCAAGCTAGATATTTAACAGTTTGATATAAAGTCTCCTTGTGGGGATTTTATCAGAGGTTGGTATGATTGTATTGTTCAGAAGGGAAGCACATTAAAGAGCATCTCCCACTTATTTCATTATCATCCTCCCTTTCCTTGCAGCATCCTGAGCCACCTGGAGAACACCACTCCCCGTCTAGTCTCTAGGTGGGTGACATGCCTCATTTCCTCTGCCACTCATCCTCATTCTCTCTATTCCCTTTCAGGGGTGAATCCCAATTAAAGAAAGTCTCACCCCTAACACTCCCAAAGTAGAAGACATTAACATATCTTAATGTTTTAGTCCTGTGATACTGTCGTTTTGCCTCTAAAACATTGGAGTAAGAGAAGCATATTGTGAGGTCTTTTTTATTCTTCCTCAGCAGGACCCAGAAGGAGCCAGAGATCTCATCTTTTATCATTACCTCTTTTCTCCTGTGTCCTCTGTAAGGACAGATGCTGTTTTTCAGTGCTTTTCACTGCGGTTATGAGAATATAGCATAGCACATGCAGAGGGCCACAAGACGATGTGGGCTGTAACCTCTTGGGTTCTTCCCAGAACTAAGACTCTAAGCTCCTACTTGAAATATAGCTCATTCTTCATGCATTCTATTCCAAATGTGTTTCATTCTGAGCACATACCAAATACATCAGTACTCAGTTATAGTTTAATTGGCCAGCTCTCCGAGTACCCTAAAACAATAGGAGAAAGCTTTGTGGTAGCTAATTGCAATCATGTTGAGACCTCGAAGTGGAAGATCTACTGATTTGCCGTTCCCTTTGTTCTCAGTTCTACACTTTACTGAAACATGACACGTGTGGGTATTCATGCACTTCTAATATCAAGTTTAGTCCAGGGACAGAGCATGTGTTTTCTTCATTTGTCAGACTTTTAAATCCACTCTTCCCAATCTTCACAAATGGAAAAGTGGCTACATGGGGAGTGAGCATAATTCCTTTCCTTCTTATCCCACTACCCAAGTGCCTCTTAAAACAGATCGTCATGTGGGCCTAATTGGTAATGCACAAGCAGATGCATGGTTAGCTGCCCAATCGCCCAAGCAACTGGGTCGCAATGGGTGTAGATGTATTTTTCGTAGACGTTCTGCTGGCAAATAGCACCCATGCTTTAGCCCACGGAAAACAAGCTGTGGTTTGTTTGATGTTTTAGGTTAGGGAGTGGCTGGCAGCGTTCTGTGAAAAAGTGAGACTTTCAACACTGTAAGTCATTTGCTGACTTTATTTAACAATATCTAAACCATTTAAACCAACAGTATCATATAGCTTGGCACATTCTACCACTACAGATCTTCCGGAAAGGATGAAATGGCCAAATATTTACATGCATTCCGTTTTCTTTACATATTTGTATTTCTACCATTTTGAAAATTAGAATATAAACATTCTGTTTAAAAATCTGTTCTCCCCCACATACTACATATTCAAAGAGCAAACACACTTTCCCTTTAGTAAGTGTGTGTATATATATATAAACATATACAAATATAAATAATTCTAGGTGTCTCTTAGTTTCTACACTTTAAATATCTAGGTCTACCTAAATAGCCCAACCCTTTGTTTTATGATGCAAAGAAAAATTATAAAAATCTGCTGTCCCTATAATTACATTGCCCTTTGCCGTCTCTTAAAAAGGAAAAAAAAAAAGGTGTGTGTGGGGGGGTGTTCAAATTTCCCCCCTGTTTTATTTGCACCCTATTAACAACTGTTACTGGAGCTTTAATTATGCCCCGGTGATTGTGGAGTTGTGGCTGACTTGTGTCATTTTCCTCCCAGGGGATGCCTTATAATTACCAGCATCCATCGTGGCTGCCTGTGAGCTGATGCTTTTTTATTACCAGTTCAATAATCACTGCATGCTTGTGAACATCTGCTCTGCAAGCCATGCATCGGGGGGCCCAGCGCCTGTCACTTGATGTGCCCTCACCACAGTGACCTTGGTGCCCCCTTCTTCGGTTTATATCTAATTTGTTTACTAGAGGGTCTGTCCAGAAAGTCTCCCAGGAAGGCAATTAATACACTACATTTGCAAACAAAAGGAAAATTTGCCCTTTCTCTCCTTTCTCTTTTTCCAGGTTATTGTCTTCATCTTAAAGTCCATAATTTCTCTTCCGAGGAGAATGACTCTGTTTGGGACTTCAGAACACAAGGCGAATATCAGAGAACATTCCACCTGCTTATATGGGAAGCAGGTAGACCCTTTGGTGGGCTGATGTCTCCTGAAAATATGAAAATGTGAACAGCCAGTTACAGACTGATAGCTTATATGGAATACTTCATTCTTGTCAAGGGAGGGACCATTCATGTGCCCCATTTTATTTCACGTTCTTAGCTTCCCATCTCATTTTCTCTCCTACTCTACGCAAGCCTCGCTGCCCTTTGTTTTCTAGGATAATTCTTCCCACTGCAGCCTTTCTCCTTCAAGACTCTCTGTCTTCTTCTTCTGTCTTTTCCTATTGCTTGCCTGCTTACTTTAGAACTCCCAGATTAGAACAGATGCTTTTCCTCATGACAGTGCTTCTGAGTCACGACTTGTCACTAATAAAACTAACGTGCATACTCTTTACTAGTCTTTATGGGTCTAATATATTTTTTAAAAAATAAACCCTGGAGTTCTAGCGTCAGCTAGTTTTTAAGTATTGTTAAACTTATTCTTAGGTTTGGAGTCCATGATCAAACTTGACCATGTGATCATTCAGTGTGCACACTTACTTCTTTCCTTTAAGGTTCAAAGGAAAGTGATGTCACAGATCGCTTTACCAGATTCTGCAACTAGTGGGTAGGCACTTGTTAAACACCCTGAGCTTCAGCAGTTCCTAACGCCTCAAAATTGAGAACTAGCTTACGTAAATTCTGCAGCAGTGCCAAAGAGAAGGAAGCTTGTCTGTTCTGCCCTTGTTACTGGCCAAAGAGAGCAGTGGGAAAGAGACTGAACTATGTTCTCTGTACCCTAAGGGTCTGGTACTCTATTCAGTCCATAGGATACTCTGACTGGCAGATGGCTGGACAAAAGGTGAAATCCTATTTTAGAGAATATATATATATATATATATATATATATATATATATATATATATATATATATACTAACATAAAATAAAACATATAAACATGAGACAGAGAGAGAGAGAGAGAGAGAGAGAGAGAGAGAGAGAGAGAGAGAGAGAGAGAGAGACAGGGAAAGTGCTTGCAAAGACTATCATTAAAACCTGTGCTTTAAGATACCTACAAAGTGTATCGAACATCTGCAGGAGAAATAGGGACAAAATTTGCACCCAGGAGGCAAGGACCCAAAAGAACTAATACTCGCTATGATGCTCAGCTCCACTTCTTCTTCAAATAACTTCTAATCAAGGAGCTTTGGATTCTGCTGCTCCAGCTGTACCTGGCACCCACATTTAGCATGGAGTAAGAGAGACATCAGAATCTTGTAGCCTACACAGGGCTTAACTTGCCAAACTTCTTTCAGAACAAACACCTAAGCAGCATCTAATGAGACTGTGGGATGGTATCAATACCAACATGATAATACAGGTCTTGAAATTGACTTGGAGAACCTAGGAAAGGGAACCCCAGGAGAGGAGAATGGAGGGAGAAGGTGAGG